TGGATCTAATGAAAGAACAGAAAATAAAGAAAAGATACACATGTTAAGACAGAGACTTCTACAGTCAAAAGTAAAAATTCAAATAATTTTGCTATTACTGTTCTTCCTAAAATTCTTCCGCCCCCCCCCAAAAAAAAAATCATCCTAAACTTCCGGTAAAACATACTATCACGTGTTAATGCCATTTTTCATTTTGTCATTTTTTCACTGGAATCTTTTGGAGTCTATTTTGGATTTTGGAGTCTATGAATTTGGAGTCTTAGGTGGAAAGTCTATGAATATTTCTAAACTTTCTGGGATTCTTTCCATAAATCCTTTTTTAAAACCCTTCAGAGTCAAAGGTGTCCCTACAAATTGTGTATGATCAAAAAGACAAAAGATTCAGGGGGGGATTCAAAAAAGTAAAAAGGAAAATTATTTTCACAGAGAAAACTGATACACATTTGAATATTCTGATATAATTACACAGGGAAAAAAAATCTTCTCATGAAAGGAATATAAAAGAAGACGGTAAAATAATTACACTAGCTTTTTTGGTTTCATGAAGAAATGTTTGGGAAACTGGTGTAGTGACACTAAATGAACTTCATGTAGGTAGTTCATCATGCAAAAAAATCTAGCCAAGCCTCCAAATATATATATTGTTGCATCCAGCTTAGCACCATACACATGCTTAATCGGAATTAATCCAAGCAATTTCAAGGGGAAAGAAGAAATTCTTCTATAACAGTGTCTAGTGATAACATGTGAAATACATCGCAGCTGACATTTTTTAATTATTACTGTGCATATTTGATTACTTTAACATATTCATCAGCTATTATGTTCCAGTAGCGTAGATTACCTTAATGTATTCATTGGTGATCGATCATGCTTCAGGAATGTGCGACTGGATAATTTTTACGCATCAATGTGATTTGTGATATTTTGTACCTGTTTCTTCAACAAAATGAATATTATCCGTATGCATTCATTAAGTGGAGTTTTATTTTTCTTATGCATTTCTCAGGCTGTGGATCATTTGAACTCAAGTCTCTGCCATCAATTATTTAGTGCTTCTTCATATGTACTGCAAATGCATTCCTGAACCATCATTCCTCCATCATTTTATTTTCATCTGTATTTATTTATACGTATTACTGAAGTGTCTACTAGAGATCCTCCAACCGCTGATGACAAGCAAATGGCTTGCACTGCTGTAAAACCTGTGCCATTTTGCCATAATGACCTCAACCTTTTTTTTTTTTTTTTTAATTACCCCAATTCAAGCTTGAGGGTATAACATTCGATGATGTGAAATTTTGTAACATGGTTTCTGCCCTCAATACTGAAATTCTAGTTCATGAGGTAGTTCTCAAACCTGCCACATCAGATAACAAATACAAGGAACTGAAAAATAAATTAATTTCAGTAACATGATGAATCTGAAAATACTGAACTAAAGCAGCTGTTACAGGATTTGCAACCTGGTGACAGGTATCCATCCCAGTTACTGTCAAAAATGCAGGAACTTACAGTCGACAACTTTAAATCAAATGTTTTATAATCATTGTAGCTTACCGTCTCCCAAGCAATATCCAGGCTATTATTGCCACTAGTAACGAGAAACTACCCTAGTTGGCTCAGATGGCAGACAAAATTCATGTTCTCAAACCAAAAGCAATCAATCAAGTTCAGCATCCCAGTATTGATATTTCATCGCTCCGGCAACAAATCTAAGAATTATCATTGCAGATCGCAACCTTACAGACACGATCTCGGTATCAACTGCGTGGCATATCAAAGTCTTGGAACTGACATAATAGGGACTATCAATGAATGCAATCCAGTAAGCGAAGATAAATTTGCTTCTATCACTCCCAATCTGGTGATAAAGCACTTAAGTGCAAAGCCTCCATGCACATTCCAGCAGACCTCTTTAAACTGAATGGGCTATCTCTCAAGGCCACAAGTGGTACTGTTGTTTTACCACAAAGCAAGAAACATCATACCTTTAAGCAGATTCTTCATTATTTAATTTCTTTTAATATAAATTAATAAGGGTGATAATGCTTGGTGGCAACAATTTGAAAAGTGAAATGGACATTTAAAGTTTTCAACACAAAATGCCAAAATGAAATTAATAGTCCTTATTAATTATTAATCTTTGAGCTAAAAAACATTAAAATACAGTATCTTAGTTTACTATTAGCTATATGCCCTATGCCTGAATTCCCAGTGCCAGGTTTCAAAGAATGGGAATGCAGGAATACGATTCTAGTGAATATCAAATTGACTCCAACAACAAAGAATTTTAAACTGAAGACATTCTGTTTAAAAGAGATTTCACCAGCATGAGTTGAACGATTCGATACGAGATTAGGGACAAGCCGAAAAAGCTTCAGAGCTGTTAGCATCAAAACTGCATGTCTGCAATCCATTAGATGTTATGGTGGATTTGTGTAATGCCATAACATACAGATTTAATGGAAGAGTTGGGAATTTCAGCTTATAATGCAACTCAGCAGTGACTGTTCACTGATGGCTCAAAGCAGAGCTTCAAATGTGTCCTTCCCTACAATGGAAAACTATTTGGTGTAGTCCCAACAGGCCATTCAGTTTGTTCATATGAAGAATATAAAGATCTGATGACAAGCAAATGGCTTGCACTGCTGTAAAACCTGTGCCATTTTGCCATAATGACCTCAACCTTTGGTTTTTTTTTTTTTTTTTTTTTTTTTTTTTTAATTACCCCAATTCAAGCTTGAGGGTATAACATTCGATGATGTGAAACTTTGTAACATGGTTTCTGCCCTCGATACTGAAATTCTAGTTCATGAGGTATTCTCAAACCTGCCACGGCCAGATAACAAAAATCCAAACAGGAACTGACAAAAGAATTAATTTCAGTACATGCATATAATCTGAAAATTACTTAACTAAATTGAGGATGTTTCAGGATTTCGGCAACCGTACGGGAATAGGGCCGCCAGTTACTGTCAAACTGCAGGATTACATCGACACTTTTTAACATCAAATGTTTTAATCAGTTTTTGAGCTTTCCCGTCTCCCAAGCAATATTTTCCAGGCTATGTTTAAAATTGCCACTAGTAACGACAAGTGACAAAGACCCTAGCGATGGGCATTTAAAAAAAATGTCAGGGGATCGCACTAACCAAAGCAACTTTGGAGATCTTCAATATACTTGTCTGCAAAATGAACATCAAATTGCATTTTTTACTATATTTATCATATACTATTTACTATTATCAAAAATGTCATTCTTGGTAACTTCCTAAAAAATCTTGGTGCAGTCAGTGATTCTACTAAGATTAAAGATTAAAGGTCACAGAGGCACAGTACCAAGGCAGATGGGATGCACATACAAAAGCTGACTATTGCTGGAGCATTGAGTGAGATTGTCCATGGATTAAAACTCCAGAAAAAGCCCTCAGCAAAATTTTTGCCTTAATATGTATGTTAACCGTTTGGTTTAAAAAAAAAAAAAAAAAAAAAAAAAAAAAAAAACAACTTTACTATTTGTATGAACAAAATTTAACTTGCAATAACTATATATAGCCTTTGTATGAATAAAACTAGTCTTTGTGAACAGTATATTTGGTAAGCTTTCTCTTTACTTTCCTTTATACGCATATTTTGCATGACTTTTGAGACATACAGAGGGTCCAGTAGCTTCAAAAGTTGACATGATAGAAAAAAAAACTGAGGTTATTTTGGGATTCAGAAGGCAAAAGTTGGTCAAAAACAAGGAACAGATCTAAGATAACAAAAATGCTATTCCTCTGTGTAATTAATCTGAATATAAAAAAATAATTACTCAACAGATAAATGATAACTACAAATTATTATTTCTGGTAATAACTGAATACAGTCAAAAGTCTTTAATACGGATGTCCATAATTCGGAATGATCTATAATCCGGACCTCAAAGCTACAAACTTTCTGCGCATGCGTCAACGCATGTGCATAATACGTTCACGCATGCGCATTTAATGTATAACGGATGGTATAAGCTAAGCTAAAATTATCCAATTATCTATTTTAGTTAATGTTGCAGATTGGTTGTTCCTTAATCTTCTAATTGGAGAGGATCTACAAAGCGAAAGCTTGTTCTGATGGGAGGGAGGGACGCCGCGGCTCGCAATGAGCTGGAAGTCGATCTGTCAGCACTATCCTTATCTTCAGGGCAGATGTTTTTATTTTATTCGGCTTATAATTCCTTACTAAATGTAGTATTTCATCTCGATGTACTCCGTCTTTGATATGATTTAAATCAAATTCTTCGTCATTATAAATATCACGAATACACATCAAATAGTTTTCTGGTTGCAATTTTCTAATTTCAACTATGCGTAATGTATGCTATACGCATGCGCGCGTTGAAAGAAATGTTTAATAAAGTAAACAAATAAATATTATGCTTTTTTTTGTAAATTTTGATACCCTTTAGATCATAATTGCTCTTTATTTCATAAATTACAGCTTCATATCTTTAATTTTATAATTTCTGCATGCCATCTTACCAGATTTAAACTGATGATCTATAATCCGGAAAAACCGATAATCCAGAATCGCCGAAGTCCCGACGAGTCCGAATGAAAGACTTTTGACTGTATAAAACATTCTTGTATAACAGCAATTTTAATTTCACTTGGAATATCATCATTTATCTATACATATTTCTTAACTGCCATTTGAATTTTTATCATTGATTTTTTGATAATTTTACTGGATGCAGTGACATAACTCATTTTAAATTTTTTAAATAAATTTCTAACCCACCATTAGCAGTCACCAGTATTTTTATAACTTTCAGTTTTTTTGCTTCAGTTGCTCCCAACATTATTAATAGATTAATAAACACAAACTTCCCCAATTATGTTACCTATTTCATTTAAATATTACAAATTTATGACTAAATATATATATATATATACATATATTTTTATTATATATTTTTCAAAAATTTTAAATAAATTTTTAAAAAGTGTGAATATTACCGAATCATTTTCACTCGTGTCAACAACTATGACACGATCAGGACATTCATCTAGACAAGCTGCATAGAGCTCATTTACAACCACATTAAAAGCAGTGCAGTTTCTGGACTGATAAAATGCCTTCATCTCTTCTGACAAATCAGAAAATGCTACCTACAATAGTAAGTATACTTTAAGCATAAATACATTGCAATCATTTACAGAATAGCAAGCACACACATGAAAAGAGATAGCAATGTATTTGGGGAAATGAATTTGTACATAATTAAATTATTATTTTAATAATGCCTTAAATAGTAGGTTATATACAGTAAAGCCAAACCAATCAAGCAAGCAGCTTACCCACGAAGCCGCCAATCTCACGCAGCCACTGAATTTACCTGAATACCATGATCCCTGATAGTCAACAGTTTTCTAATCAATAACCTGATTGGGTGGTGTCAGATATTTACGACAACATACCAGTCCTGTCTTGCAGCTATGTTACATATGGTTGTTACCATATTGTCTTCAATCTGCACCACTCTGGAAATACTCCTAAAGTCTACATGAGACATAAGGCTGAACGAAGATTTCCTGGAAAACTTACATTTCAATAAAATCTGCCTTTGCTATCCCGAGTATAACAACATACATAATGTCATCAATATGGCTTTTATGCATTGCATTTATAATCCAATAATTGTATTTTAGATGGAAAAGGCAATATCTATACTTTCAGATGCAAAACTACCACGGGTTCTTTAAATCACAGCTATGGCATTGATTTAAACTAGCATTAACATGTTCACGCTGGCGTGGGCCACCGGTGGCCCGCACTAGTCTGTCTTGTCGGGTGGTGCGTACCACCGGTGGCCTGCACTAGTCTGTCTTGTCGGGTGGAGCGTACTACCGGTGGTACACATTCGATTGTGTTATTAGATTGCTTCTATTTCTTCTTCTATTGATAGATTCATCAGACGAATCACTTATTTCCATATCCTTGTTATCTATTATTTATCAGGGCAAAAATTTAAAAAAAAAAAACATTCTAACTGCCTTTCTAGTTATACTTATTGGCAGAAGTCTGAGGTTAAGATGGAAAAAAAAAAAAAAAAAAAACGCACACGTTACACAACTTGCAAAATAAGTACTCACTATACTATTAGCAAACGTACAACACGTTTACAGATCTGAATAGGTAATAATCGTGTGCAGCCAGATGAAACACGGCAAAAATTCGAGCGCCGCCTCATGGCGAAGAACATAAAAATTGGCCCTGGCGTGAATGTGTTAAATAAATTCTTTTACCAAAACTTTTTTACAAAAACTTCAAATAATGAAAAATAGCACATTTTTATATTTTCCATTTCAATACAACAGTGGTAAATATGCATATTGGAAAATTTCTTAACTTATGCATATAGGCATTCTTATTGTGGGATATACATTAATAACTGAAAGGCTTTTTACAAGATTTTAAATGATGACTTAATACAATAGATAGCTTTTATAATATTACATATTTTCATAATGAACATTAGCTCAATATAATATCACTGAATGTAACAAATATTCCAAAATTTCATTTATGGTTTCCCCATCTAAATCTATAGGATAACAAGGGACTTCTAGATGGGAATTTTAAATTCAATTTGTTAATTCAGAATAATGATTAGTAATAATGTAGCTTATCTATATTAACTATACTGCCATTAATGATGGCAATAATAAACTATTATGTATTATGCACCCTGCGACATCCATTCGAAAGTAATTCCTGTCATTTTCCATATGATAATTCACCTGTTTATAAAATAAAAGTATAATAGTGCAGTGTGAGGAAATAAAAATTCTCAATTGATTGGCTATCCCAAAGCCGTGATCTCAACCTACTCAGACATCTCTGGGATGAATAACAATACAGCAGAGAGCCAGATCAACTGTCCCAAATAGCATATGAAGATATATAAAAAGCAGAGTTTTAGAAAGGGTTTGAAATTTCCGAAGCATTATCAGTGAAAAAAAGTAACATTCACAGAAAAATTACTTTGAAAAATACACAGCCTTTTCCCAAAACGTGCACTCGCATTATTTGGATTCATATCATATATGCAATATGAACTTGAAGGCAAAAAGGGTAATAAGTTAGAATTTTAACATAATACATTGCATAAATCACCCATTTCCACGGCAATTCTTTCAATGAGAAACTATTATTATAATATTATATAAAATAATTATTTTCTAATTTTACATGGTAAAACCTATATCTCAATTACAATTTGCAATTAATTCTTAAAATAATTGATTTCAGTTTAAAATAAGATACTTTTATTTCTTAGTATGATATGGAAATCATACAAAGTCAAATTACTAAAATCATCTACAGAAAATCTAATTGTATTTATGTAGTAAAAACAAATTCATATGTGAAGAAGCAGAAACTGTTAAATTAGAATATTCCCAAACTGGAATGTGGCAAAATACACTTTTTTTCTTAAAGGGGACTAATAATTCAATATTTATTTCATTGCTAATAAAAATTGCAAGCATGTTTTCTTTTCCCTTTCAACCTCCTCTTTTCAAGTAAATGAATTTAGCAAACTAAATGGTTACTGCTAGAAAATGCAAACACATTTTTAAAAAATAATAAAAAAATAGCAAATCAACTAACTGAATGGTCAACAAAACGGGCAGCCATTGGATGACTAATAGTAGTAATGAATAGATCCCATTCATTACCATCTGGAAGTTTAATGCATAGTGGAAACTTCGAATGAGATACATTATACAAGCTGTTTTTCAAAGTTGGGAGATCTAAGACTTCACTTCTAAACTCTGATTTACTCTGAAAAGGAATTAAATAAGCCATTAATTAGTCATAATCACATTTATGACATTTCACAGAATCATTTTATGAATACATATAATATTAACAGTATTTCTTACAGAGGTGCTAGATGGTGTAGCACTTCCAGATGATAGTTCTTTGGCTGGACGAACAATGTATTTTACTCCATCTGGAACTCTACCATAACCTCTGTAAAAGCATACAAATTCCTTATTAGTTATTTGATATTAAAAAAATAATAATTTAAAAATATACATCCCTAAAGTAACTACCAGAAATATGCTTAAAATTAAGGAAAATGTATTGCAAGAAATAACTGGCTTCATAGCCAGAAATTTTTAATTTCTCCACCTTGATTTTTTAAAACCAAATTGAATAATATCCCTAATACACAAGAATTAATCATTAAAGTATGAATAACTGAGTAATTTGAAGTGTACACTACAAAATACAATGAAGAAACTAATAATTTAAAAATCAAACTTATGCCACTATTGTAACTCTATAATTATTGTAAAGCAAACAAAAGATACACAAACAAAAATGTGAGTTATTTTCTTCATTACAAATTGCAATAGTGTTGTAACACCTTTAGATCTAGGTGTCTTCAAGAATTTGAAAATGCTCTACAGGCAAAGGTATGTTCAAATAGCTCTTAAAAATATAACTATAGCAAATACATAGGAAATATTCTTGAAACTATAAATATGATTTCACTTGCCTGGACCCAAGTAAAACAACAGACAATTAAAACTACTTTATTATGGAAGGGAGTCAACTGAAAGTGCTGACAATGAAAACTATGATGATGGATGAAGAAGATAGGAAACTACTGGAATAAGACATAACAATCGAGGAATGCCTATTCTGGGATAGCAATGTAATGATGTCAGGCTTAAGTGCAGCTGAAGAATTGATTAAAAACTTTTTAAGAGATGAACATTTAAGTAGTGGGGATTAGGAAGAAAATGAAATAATCCCACCTTCTTTTCAAAATGTTATCGAATGCACTAACACTCTCAGAAATTTCTTTGTGCGTAATAATACCAGCAAGAAACATTTCAAGAACTGAATTTGCTTCAGAATCAAATAATATGACAGATGACAACTAAAGAATTTTGCTTTAAAATATTCTTGGTGGAAAAATGTTACTTGTTTACGATAGCAATTCAAATAAAGATGTAACTCAGCTCGAGAGCGATTGACTAAGCCGGGAGCTGTACTTAAGTGCTTGGCTGTGAAGCTATTTTCCCCATTATAGCCTAAAGACTGCACTGTTGATTGTTTCCACGTGTTTATCATAGTTTTTTCATGGCTGTAAATGTGTCTTTGGAACTCTCTTGTGTGATACAGATGGATAAATTGTGTTTTGATTCTTCATCAAGTGTTCTCATCAGTCACTCCAAATCCACGAACCCATAGAATGCAACAATATTCTCCAAGGTGCTCTTTTTGGCCAACCCATGAAACAAACATTTAAACACATGCTCTGCAATTAATGGTTTTAATTCTGTATCCCAAAAGTACTAGGAGATAAGATAGCTAATTGCTTAAGTGTTAAAAATGAGGCATTCATAAATAAAAATATATTTTTTCTCTCTAACCCCTATCTATTATGCTTTTCTTTCAAATCAGTCATATACTATTGCTATGAAGTTTTGGCCCATTCAGGACCATGAATACGCTTTCTCCCTTCAGAGCCCATGGTCTCATATATGAGACCAGACTTTTCGAGTCTTGATGTGCTTGTGATCAGTCCAACACGGTTTCAAATTGGAACATTTTATTAAGGTTTTTAAATTATACTAAATTGCACCAGAAGTCCATCATATTTTGGAATAATGTTCCACACAGAGTTGACCTTCAATACTCATTTTCAGTTCCGACTTTTTTGGGGAGGAATACAGCGAATTTGAATACGTAAACATTTGCACGTGTTAGATACTTAGGACATATCACATAGTTTTACTAGTAATTTGTTCAAACTTTTAAAGTGTCCATTCCTTTTTTTTGGCAATGTAAATATATAACTTTTTTTATTAAAATAAAACAATTTTCTTTAAGACTGACAACTGTTTTTTTAAATAACAAAAATTTTACTACAGATACTATCTGTGAGGCACTAGCGCCCTTCTATGGATAGCAATGATGCCTGTGCCAGTAAGATGCAGAATAAAACAGCAAAATGGTTTAAAAAAATCCGATGTGCTCACCACATGACTACCTTGTATGGTCTATTAAATTTTTTCCCTTTTTTGCTGCACTTCATTTAAACTTAGAATCTGAATTTCATTATAGATATATTTCTCATTCAATCAATTCACTTCTCACTTTGCAGCAAGGCAAAAGTACATAAAAACTCAAAACATCTTAATTAAAAATCATAAAATACAGAAAAAAATAAAACACCGAAGTTTAGAAACAGTTACAAAAACAATTTTTACAATTGCATTACAGTTTCTACACAAAAAAAAGCAATTCGGACAGATTTTTTTCAGTGCACAAAACTGAAAGTTTACTTTTGGTACCAGTCGACAAACAGACACTGAATTTGGTGCAGAAACTTACTTAATTCACTATTCTACTGAGGGTTTCAAATGTTAACAAATGGTGGCTTTTTTAGGCTTAGTAGCACTTTAACAACTTTTAAATTGTTGATAATTCTACAACTATTGCATACAGATTAACTAAAGGCATAAAAACATTAGCCAGAGCAGAACAACATAATTCAATCACTTTTAAAGGGAAAAATGCATAATTTACCAACATATAAGTATTTAAAAAAAAACTGACCTCACCGAGCCAGGTAACAGAATGGTATATATATTCTGATTTCAGCCAAAAAGGAAGGTGCACAACTACACATTATAACAGTCCCACATACAAAATTTCAGCATTCTGAGGCTACTTGTTAAGATATGGACGATACTACATACGTACATATATACAGACATCATACGAAAAAATCTCTTCTGAATTCATTTTAGAAAAAAATGTCTTATTCTGTCTATAGGTAGAAATGTCATGCAAAAACATCATTCAAATGGATTTGAGAGCAGTCAAAATGGATATTTTCGTCAAAAAATCATAACTGAAAGTTTTCGTGATTACAGTACTTCCTTTACTTCGTACAAGGAAGTAAAAAGGATAATCTTAATAGGAGATATGTGAGTAGTGCATGTAAAATAAAGTTATTGTGTTGTGTTATTGTGAATAAAAACATTTAAAAAACACGAGTTTATTTTACAAATGGCGCCAAATTAATGGATGAAAAGAACCTACAATCATATATCACAACAAATTGGTGTCAGAAAGTGTAATAGAATAATGGCATAATTAAGGTAAAAGAAACAAGAAACATCAAGTGTTGTGCATCATGTTTAAAATAAAAAGGTGTAACCTTACCTTTCAACTGGATTATAAAGTGTACAAAGACTACTAAAGGTAAAAATTTTACATTGTTTATAATAAAATGGATAAATTGAAAACACTTATTAAAATGTGCAGGCTTTGAGAGCATCAATAACTAACATTGTAAACAAAGTAGATGACGATATAAAAAAATAATAGTAATACCAAAAATTTAACCAGAAGATCATTAACTTAAAAAGAAAACTGTATAAATTAAATTGAGATGAAGAAATTCTATCTTTGATAGATGATGAAAAGAAATTTGAAATAGAAATTGAAAGTTCTATGAATTATGAGAATAAAATAACTTTATGCAAATATAAGATATTTAAAATTCAGACTGGAACAGCACAAAACAAACTCAGCTGTTATGTCAATCGAATACAAAAGTGAAAATCATCAATATTCTCTTTCTAAATTAGAGATTCTTAAATTTTACAGTGACATCAGTCAATGGATAAGTTTTTGGATTTCACTCAAAATTGCAATATATAACACTATTACTCTTTCAAAAGTAAAAAATTTTAATTACTTAAAATACTATTTAAGTATACTGTTACCAATGTTATAGAAGATTTTTCAATAGCTGGAGAAATTATCATGAAGCAATACAAATTTTTAGTATTGGAAGATGCAGTGTTAAATATCCTAAATCTGTCTCCTGTTTAAAGATCACATGACATTTTAAAATTAAGAAAATTGTATGATAGTATAGAAATCCAGGTTCAAAGTCTTTCTTCTTTAAATGTGACTCTAGAAACTTATAACAATATGTTGATTCTAGTTTTATTCAGAGTAATTCCAGCAGATTTAGGATTAGAAAATAGTCGTATGAATAATGACAAGACATGTTTCAATAATAAATAAATTTCTAGAATTCCTCCAAAAAGAACTGTGAGCTCGAGAGAGAGCAAATGCATTTAATGCAGACAACAGGATTACACAAAACAAAAGCTTCGGTTTAGCCCTAAACAAACCACCACAAACAGATGTAGATCATTATCAGCAGCGGCATAAATATAAACAACTGACTAGTGAAAAGTCTTTTACCATATCCTTGGTGTCTAAACCATGTTTATTTTGGAGTCACTAACCCATGATGCAGGAATTTGTTCAGATATTGATGTAGACTTGAATGAGAAAATTAAAAGAACAAGAGGCTGGTATTAAAAGTGCTTTAGTAAGAAGCATATAGTGAAAGATTGCAGAATAAAAATTCGTTGTGAATTACATAGCAAACTGCATCACACATCTTTATGTAATTCTGAAAAGCAAATTTTGAAAATTGATAAATAATGTAGTAAAACAGAAAATCTTTACTTACAGCAAATATCTCAACTGATACATTAATAAGTTTGAAGGACAGGTCTGACAAATTAACTTTAATTCTTTAATTATGATACAAGTAGAATGTGATAAAAGTGTTAAATGCTATTGTTGATATTGCCACACAGATCAGAATTATAAGGAGCACTGATGTATTAGATAATTATTAAAGACAATGTGGAAGTGTGATATCAAAATATGGTTTTCAATAGAAGGCTAATGCACTTTTAAATTTAGTGACGAGAACAGGGTTCAAACACATTTCCTTACATGAAAATTAAGGACTTTTAAGGACCATCAAAGAAAAAATTAAGGACCTATCAGCAAACAAAAAAACGAATAGAATAAAGCAATTATCCATACAACCGACTTAATGCTTGTAATTTCACTTTAAGAAACTAACAGAAGTGTGTATTATGCACTATTATTAAATTCAATTTAATACTTACCAT